TGGGGGAATATTTTTTTTTTTTTTTTTTTTTAGCTATTTATATCTTTAGATGTTAGGCCTTGATCAGAAGAGTTAATTTTAACTCTCAGAACTGCTTTCATTGCATCCCAAAGGTTCTAATACATTGTGATTCAACTGTCATTTGTTTCTAGGAATTTTAAAATATTTCCCTGATTTTTTTCTGTGATCCATTGATCATTCAAGAGTGTATTATTCACCCTCCATGTGTCTGTGTAGTTTCTGTGATTTCTTTTGCAGTTGAGTTTTAGTTTCATTCTTTTATGATCTGATAAAATGCCTGAGATTATTTCAATTTTATATTTATTGAAACTTGTTTTATGGCCTAAAATATGGTCTGTTTTGGAGAAAAAAAGCACGGTGGGCTGCTGAAAAGACTGTGTATTCTGATATTGTTAGATGAAACACTGTAGATCTCTGTTAAATACATTTGTTCTATGATATAGTTTAGTGCATCTCTGTTGATTATTTTAATCTTATTGAGCTTTTAATTTGTCAAAGTGGGATATTAAAGTCCCCTAATATGACTGTATTGATGTTTATCTGTCCTAGTATTATCAAGTTATGTTTTTCTCTTCTCAAGTAGTGTTTGTTTTATGAAATTTGTGTGCTGATATTCAGAGTATACATCCAGTGATGCGTCCGATCACAAATGGTTCTGTTTAGAAACAATTTGATTTGTGAATGGAAACATCCAGCAAAATTTTGCCTCTATTTGCACACTCTGCACTGAGTGATGAACACGACTGCAGTGATCTTCCTTGAACAAACATAAACACAGCCATTTTCCCCAGAATCATAAAAGGAATTAGGTCCGAGAACCGAGGTACCACTGTATTTGGAATTGTTATCTCTTCTTGGTAAATTGCTCCCTTTATCAATATGCGGTGACTTTCTTTGTCTCTTCTGACCAGTTTTGGTTTGGAGTTAACTTTGTCAACAATAAGCATGGCTGTTCCTGCTTACTTTTAGGCTCCAGCTACTTAGAGTATCATTTTCTATTCTTTCATTTTCAGACACACCTCTTTGTGAAAGAGGTACAGTCTCTTGTGAGCAACATATACAGTAGATAGTTCTTGGCTTTTGATCCAATCTGCCAGTCTGTGTCTTTTGATTAGACAGTTAAAACAACTTACCTTGAGCATTATTATTGAAAGGTATATACTGATTCTTGCCATTACAGATTTTTTTTCAGTGCTTGAATCATTTCTGTTTCCTGTTTGTTTAACTACTCTCCCAGTGAGATTTTCTTTTCCTCAGCCTCATGGATGTTGTCTGCATCATCTCTGTTTAGAATTTCCTGAAGTAATTTCAGCTGTGTTGGATTGGTGGTTGTGACCGTTAATTGTGATGTCAACTTGAATATGAAATGCTTAGCAGATTGGTTGAGCACAGTTTGGGGCATGTCAGGATGATTGGCTTGCTGAAGACCCACCACGGGTATGGGTGCAACCAACCAATAGGTTCATAGCCTGGACGGTATATAAAGAGAAAGAAGAAAGTTTTACTTCTTTTCCTCTGAGGTAATTTCTTTGGACATTCATCTCTAGGCTTCTGGTGTAGACTCTTCAGCCTCCAGGACAGACCCTCTGGCTTCTTGATACAGACCTCTATGGGACTCTGCAGTGAGCTCCAGGCCTTCAGCTTTAGAGTGGATCTTTTAGATTCCCCAACATGCACATGGCCCTTCTGCACTCTTCCACACCTGACTGCAGGCAGCCATCGTAAGCCTATCTTGTAAAATCTAAATCTGTTCTTCCAGTGAACCCTAACTGACACGGTGGTCGGGAGTTTCTTTATCTTCACCTTGTCATGAAAGGTCTTTATTTCTGCTTATATTTTAACAGCTCATTCTGTAGGATATAGTACTTTGGGTTGGCAGTTACTTTCTCAGGACTTATAAAACTTCATGCCAAACTTTCCTGGCCTGGAAAGTTTCTGTTGAGAAATCTGCTGTTATGCTGATGGATTTACCTTTATCAGTAACTCGGTGCTTTTCTCTAACAGCTTTTAATGTTCTTCCTTTGTTTTGAGATTCTGGTTCTTTGACAATTAATTGTGTGTTAGAGATCTTCTTTTCTGATCATGTCTACTTGGGGATCTAATTACCTCCTTAATCTGGGCATTAACCATAGTCCTCAATTTAGAAAATTTTCTGTAATAATTTCAGCAGATAAAATTTTTATGTCATTAACCTACCACTTCATGTCCTAATCAAGTACAAAGACTCTTAAGTTCACTCTTTTAGAGTCATGCAGGAGCTCTTGGATAATCTTTTAACTGTATCTTGTTGTTTTTGCATTATTACTGGCTGAATGTTTTGGCATGTTCACCTTGTCTTCAAGTCTTGGTATCCTTTCTTCTGACTCATCTAGCCTACTCTGAAGACTTTTAGTCGAGTCTCTAATTATTGAGGTTTTCATTTTCAGGACTTCGTCTGGTTCTTTTTCAGAACCTCTACCTCTTTACTGAAGTGGTCGTTCATGTCCTGCATCGCCCTCCTTAATTCATTCAGCTGTTTATTTGTTTCTCTTTTTTTGATCTCCTTGATCATTTTAACTATTGGGGACTTTTGAACATTCTTTGACTGGATTTTCACCCACTTTAGTATCTGAGGAGGTAGTTTATGTAGAGTCACACATTTTTAGAGGTATTTGATGTCTTGTTTCTGTTTTGTGTTTTGTGTTGAAGTTTGTAGATCAGTTATAGTGGAGGTGTGTTTAGTAAGTGGAGTGCTCCTGGTGGCGTTAATGGGTATGATTCAGTGTGCAGGTGTGCACTCAAGCTATTCAAAGTACTAGGTTCAATCCCCACCCCTCTCCTGCAAGGAAAGAACAACTACCAGGTAGATCAACATCCAAAGAACCAACCATATATCAATATATAATTTTAAATTTTTGTTTTTAAAGTTTCCTACTTTTTCAGTAACACTAGAAGGCAAATGAATATTAATAATGAAGGATAATGTGAGGCCATGATTTCAATTCCCGGTATTGGGAGGGTATTGCCCCCCATAAGCAAGGAGAAGGGACAACAAATTTTAAGAAAAAAGAGAACAAAAGAAAAATATGTTTTGATGATAATATTTTTATATTGGGAAAAAAGGAGAGAGAGATTGTTTGAGAGGCTAAGTGAAGAGGTGGAAAGAAGCAAGAAAAGGGAAGAACATATAAGTAGAAAGTGAAAGAAGACATGCAGAGGAGGCTGGATCCAGTTAATAAACTAGCAGAAGTAGAGTTCAGCAGGCCCAAGAAACAGCCCTTTGTGAGGGAGACCCTGACAATCCACAGTAAGACACAAGAGAAGCCAAAGCAATAGCTGACACCCATTCACAGCCGCAAACACACGGATGCCCCACACGTATACCTAAAAGGGAAAGAAAGGGAAAGTGGGGAAGAAAGGGGAGGTATTTATGTACAAGAACAGAAAGGGGAGGGGGGAGATCTGAGAGAAGGAGGAAAGAAAGAAGAGGCAGGGAGGGAACACAACGCAAAGTGAAAGAAGACACAGGGAGAGTGAATTCCATTAATGAACTCACAGAAATACAAATTTAGCAAACCCTGTGATACAACCCTTGTGTTTGGAAAGCATAACGCGACATGATAAGATTCTGCAGAAGTACAAACAGTAACTAGGACTTGTAAGTCCTTACAAACACAAATACACCCCCTGGCACTTTCAAAACCAAAAGCAAAAATACAAAACAACCGCCATTTAAAAAAAGAAAGAAAGAAAGAAACGGGTCCGATATTCTTCCTTGTGATAGTACTTATACAAGGGTCTAAATGTGTCCGGAGTTCTTCTCCACCTCCATCCAGATAGGAGGGGTCACACGGAGCTGGTAGGGGCTGAGCTCCACCCCTGCAGTAGTAGGTAGTCCGGTGGCTGAATCGTATGTCCTCTGCCAATGCAAACTGTTCTATGCCTTAGAGCCAGGAGCTGGGTAATCCATCTCACGAAGCCTGTGGTCAGCTGCGGAGCTTGGGGCAAAGCTCTCAACTTTCAGACACGGCTCCTGGGAGGTGGGGCTGGACAGCAGTGTTTGGGGCCAGGGGCCAGGCAGGGACCCAGTGTTGGGGAGCACAGGGACCAGGCTCTGCTGCCTCTGCAGGGATCTCCCCAGACTCAGACCTCTCTCCTCTTGAAGTGCCCTGAGCTGCATTGATTGCCCTCTGTGGCACTCAAACCCCTGCTGATTCATGCTGAAAGGCAGCGTCACCTGGATCGCCCAGCCCAGAGCTGGGCTCCCTCCAGCCCACTCCTTCTTGTCCCTTACTCTCTTTTGAATGAAACTTTCCACGTGGGTTAATTTCCAATTTGTCTCTCTCATGTTTATCAAAGCAGAAAGAACATATTTCACTCAACTGTTCATTAACTCTACTGACAGCATCCCCCGCGGAGAAGATGAGAGCACTGGCCACACACGGGGCAGTCCCCACTGTGGAAGCCTACTCGGCATCCTGGGATCCTTGGCAGAAGAGCCAGGAGGGGCTTCCCAGTGCCTGCGGTGGGTGGGTGTGCTGTCCTTAAGGGACACCGTGAAGGGTCAAATTATGACAAGGGGATCAATTGGGTCACCAGTGCTCCAGCAGCCCAAGAGCAAGGGACTCAGACAGGTTGTAACTGAGTTTCAACCCGTGTAGAGTATTGTGAGTCTTGGAAGACCCGAGGCTCAGACCTGATGGCCATCAGGAGGAGCATGAATTGTTGGACCCAAGAGCAGAGACCAACAGCTCACAGGCTTTTGCAGCACCTCTGGCCAGGCCCTCCCACCCCGGGTGCACACCAGGAGAAGGCTTGTTCATTCCCACTGGACTTGCACATTGAAATCACATCCTTTAATTAAATAAGCCTCTTTCTGAAGGAATACGTATGTGAAAACAAAGACATGTGTTCGTGAAATCTACCTGAATGCTTGGAAAATTCTCCACAAAGAAAATTTACTAAAATCCGTGTGCATTTGATGAGATGGATGGAAAGAAATGAAGAAACACAGACACGAGATTCAAGTCACATTTTACTGAGCCCTTCGCTTGAATTGGCAAGGTTTCCCTGCACCTAATTCTTTGATTTACCTGGTTGCTCTCAATGGCTGCCTGTCACCTTCATGCTTGAAGCCAGACAGAGAAATGGCCCAGTGACTGGACAGATAGGTGGCCACACACAGTAATGAGCTACTAAATTTTCAACAACCTGCTCTCCAAGAATAGATTTGTAGCATCTGCTGCTTTGTGTGGCACAAATGATCCCTCCCAGCTGACTTCGAGCAGCCACCTGAAGTCTGCATGGACCTGAGAGAATCTTGCACATCCACTGTGGGGAGCAGATGGTGGGGGCAGCTCCCTGCCAGAGAGAAACAGGGCACAGGCGTGGGGAAGCTGCACTGCACGGCCAACGATGGAGGGCTCAGCTCCCAGGCAGCATGATTGCACAGGTCTGCTGTGCTTTGCCTGGCCAGGCTGTGACAGCCCACCTCTTCCCTCTGGAATGTAAACACAGCTCCTGGCCCGCATCCCTGTGCTAGGGTGCAGGGTGGGAGCGCAGCCAGTGTCCCATGGACAGCACTGAACATGCTCTTCTCCACAGCACCCACTTACTCCTGCCTGGCTGCTTGCTAGGACACTTCTTCTTTTCTCCAGAGCCTCCTGGGACAGATCTGATCTGACCTCGCTCTGAGAACTGGCAGGGACAACCTAGGAGCCTAGGGCCAGAAGCCAGGAGCCTGCAACAGGCCGGAAATGTAGAGAGGACCACTTTGGACTCTGAATGGAGCATTGGAAGGCTGTGCTTTTCTCTCTCCTGTCTGGTCACGGGCTTTTTATTCACAGAGATAACTGACATTGACATGCAGATGCACTTCTTCCCTTCTATTTTGGAAGCACGGGCACTGGGAATGGCAGTGGTGCTGAGGGACACGGCACTGCCCCGAGGTGGGAAGATCATTGCATCCTCTTGTATCTCCTGTTCCGGGGTCCCTGAAGTTGCTTACAGGCACTGAGATAGACACTCTCTGGGAGACCTCAGGGCCCTGGCCAGACTGCACCCTGTCATGTGAATGGCAGTTTACATCTCACACACACACACACACACACACTCAGGCACACACCATGTAGGGCTTATGCCGTCTTCCCTCAGAGGCCACACCGGACCCCTTTCTTTCCGGAAGCCAGGCCCACAGTGTGCTGTATATAAAAGCATGATCTTGAGATCTTTGCCTTCAGATTTTAATCTACTGTAATCAATAACTTGTTATACATAACTAAGACAAATGCT